TATATCCCCTCCTCTGCTTTTAACATTTCTGTCATGATCCCGTCAGTTCCAGCTGCTTTACCCCCTTTCATTCTACGTAATCCCCCACACTCACATCCTGTTCTTCTTCACTCCTAAAAGATAGTATACCTACCTGGCCAGATAGTATACCTACCAGATAGTACAGTGGACCCCCGCATACCGTTGGCATTACATAACGTTAAATCCGCATACCGATACATTTTATTGCTAAGATTTTGCCTCGCATACCGCTAAAAAGCCCGCTCAATGCTGTTCGTCCGAGACGCGTCTAATGTGCGGCCTGAGCCAGCCTCACATGTTCCGCCGGTGGCATTGTTTACCAGCCAGCCTCCCGGTAACATCCAAGCATACAATTGGAACATTTCGTATTATTACAGTGTTTTTTGGTGATTTTATCTGCAAAATAAGTGACCATGGGCCCCAAGAAAGCTTCTAGTGCCAACCCTACAGCAATAAGGGTGAGAATTACTATAGAGATGAAGAAAGAGATCAATGCTAAGTATGAAAGTGGAGTGCGTGTCTCCGAGCTGGCCAGGTTCTATAATAAACCCCAATCAACCATCACTACTATTGTGGGCAACAAAACGGCAATCAAGGAAGCTGTTCTTGCCAAAGGTTCAACTGTGTTTTCGAAACAGAGATCGCAAGTGATGGAAGATGTTGAGAGACTCTTATTGGTATGGATAAATGAAAAACAGATAGCAGGAGATAGCATCTCTCAAGTGATCATAAGTGAAAAGGCTAGGAAGTTGCATGAGGATTTAATTAAAAAAATGCCTGCAACTAGTGATGATGTGAGTGAATTTAAGGCCAGCAAAGGTTGGTTTGAGAGATTTAAGAAGCGTAGTGGCATACATAGTGTGATAAGGCATGGTGAGGCTGCCAGTTCGGACCACAAAGCAGCTGAAAAATATGTGCAGGAATTCAAGGAGTACATAGACAGTGAAGGACTGAAACCTGAACAAGTGTTTAATTGTGATGAAACAGGCCTGTTTTGGAAGAAAATGCCAAGCAGGACCTACATTACTCAGGAGGAAAAGGTACTCCCAGGACATAAGCCTATGAAAGACAGGCTTACTCTGTTGATGTGTTCCAATGCTAGTGGTGATTGCAAAGTGAAGCCTTTATTAGTGTATCACTCAGAAACTCCCAGAGCGTTCAGGCAAAAGAATATCCTCAAGGCTAATTTGTGTGTGCTGTGGAGGGCAAACAGTAAGGCATGGGTCACTAGGGACTTTTTCTATGACTGGTTACACCATGCATTTGCCCCCAATGTGAAAGATTACCTAACTGAAAAGAAATTAGACATTAAGTGCCTCCTGGTGTTAGACAATGCCCCTGGTCATCCTACAGACGTGGCAGAGCGACTTTATGGGGACATGAGCTTCATTAAGGTAAAGTTTTTGCCTCCTAATACCACTCCTCTCCTGCAACCCATGGACCAGCAGGTTATTGCAAACTTCAAAAAACTGTACACAAAAGCTCTGTTTGAAATGTGCTTTGTAGTGACCTCAGAAACTCAGTTGACTCTAAGAGAGTTTTGGAGAGAGCACTTTAATATCCTCAATTGTGTAAACCTTATAGGTAAGGCTTGGGAGGGAGTGACTAAGAGGACCTTGAACTCTGCTTGGAAGAAACTGTGGCCAGAATGTGTAGACCAAAGGGATTTTGAAGGGTTTCAGGCTAACCCTGAGAGGAGTATGCCAGTTGAGGAATCCATTGTGGCATTGGGAAAGTCCTTGGGGTTGGAGGTTAGTGGGGATGATGTGGAAGGGTTGGTGGAGGAGGACAATGATGAACTAACCACTGATGAGCTGCTAGATCAACTTCAACAGCAAGAGGCCAGACCTGAGGAAACTGGTTCGGAGGAGGGGAGAGAGAAATTGAAGAAGTTGCCTACTTCAAAGATTAAGGAAATGTGTGGAATGTGGCTTAAAGTGCAAACCTTTTTTGATGACAATCACCCTAACACAGCTATTGCAAGCCGTGCTAGTGACTATTACACTGACACTGTTGTGAAACACTTTAGGGAAGTCATAAAGGAACGAGAGGTACAGGCCACTATGGACAGATATGTTGTGTGACAGAAGTCCAGTAACTCTGAAGCTGGTCCTAGTGGCATTAAAAGAAGAAGGGAAGTAACCCCAGAAAAGGGCTTGACACCTCAATTCTTAATGGAAGGGGATTCCCCTTCTAAACAATAAGACTCTCTCCTCCTCCCATCCCATCAATCATCACCAGATCTTCAATAAAGGTAAGTGTCATGTAACTGTGCATGCCTTTTTCAGTTTGTGTGTATTAAAATTAATATTTCATGTGGTAAAATTTCTTTTTTTCATACTTTGGGGTGTCTTGCATGGATTAATTTGATTTCCATTATTTCTTATGGGGAAAATTCATTCGCATAACGATAATTTCGCATAACAATGAGCTCCCAGGAACGGATTAATATCGTTATGCGGGGGTCCACTGTATACCTACCAGATAGTATACCTACCTTTCTTCGTCGACATTTAAAATGATTTAGATAAAGAAAATTGGATATCAAATTTGGGAGGAGGAGTATGGAAGAAGTGAATATTTTCAGATACTTGGGAGTTGACATGTCGGCGGATGGATTTATGAAGGATGAGGTTAATCACAGAATTGACGAGGGAAAAAAGTGAGTGGTGCGTTGAGGTATATGTGAAAACAAAAAACGTTATCTATGGAGGCAAGGAAGGGAATGTATGAAAGTATAGTAGTACCAACACTCACATATGGGTGAAGCTTGGGTTGTGAATGCAGCAGCAAGGAGGCAGTTGGGGGCAGTGGAGATGTCCTGTCTAAGGGCAATGTGTGGTGTAAATATTCTGCAGAAAATTCGGAGTGTGGAAATTAGGAGAAGGTGTGGAGTTAATACAAGTATTAGTCAGAGGGCTGAAGAGGGGTTGTTGAGGTGGTTTGGTCATTTAGAGAGAATGGATCAAAGCAGAATGACATGGAGAGTCGTTTAAGTCTGTAGGGGAAGGAAGGCGGGGTAGGGGTCATCCTCGAAAAGATTGGAAGGAAGGGGTAAGGTAGGTTTTGTGGGTGAGGGGCTTGGACTTCCAGCAGGCGTGCATGAGCATGTTCGATAGGAGTGAATGGAGACGAATGGTATTTGGGACCTGACGATCTGTTGCAGTGTGAGCAGCATAATATTTAGTGAAGGGATTCAGGGAAACCGGTTATTTTTATATAGCCGGACTTGAGTCCTGGAAATGGGAAGTACAATGCCTGCACTCTAAAGGAGGGGTTCGGGATATTGGCAGTTTGGAGGAATATGTTGTGTATCTTTATAAGTATATGCTTCTAAACTGTTGTGTTCTGTGCACCTCTGCAAAAACAGTGATTATGTGTGAGTGTAGTGAAAGTGTTGAATGATGATGAAAGTATTTTCTTTTTGGGGGATTTTCTTTCTTTTTGGGTCACCCTGCCTCGGTGGGAGACGGCCGACTTGTTAAAATATATATATACAGTGGACCCCCGGTTAACGATATTTTTTCACTCAAGAAGTATGTTCAGGTGCCAGTACTGACCGAATTTGTTCCCATAAGGAATATTGTGAAGTAGATTAGTCCATTTCAGACCCCCAAACATACACGTACAAACGCACTTACATAAATACACTTACATAATTGGTCGCATTCGGAGGTGATCGTTATGCGGGGTCCACTGTATATACATATATATAGTATATATAAATTAATCACATATACAGTATATGAGGGAAGCAGCTTTGATTATGGATCAATATATGCTGGAAAACTGCATAAAACAGTTCAGTAGTTGTACAGAAAATATACAATTTTTATAATGCAGTATCTCCTGCTGAAAGTTATCATTAACTGAATTCATTCAAACAATCCACACTCACGTTTTTAAAACAATCTGATTCAACAATAAAAGTTATCTCCTTCAAAATGTAAATTGAACAGGTCTTTTCAAAGTGAGTCAGCTAAGTAGCCTAGTATCATTTCAGGTTAAATCAGGACTCTTTTATGTTAGGTAAAAGCACACAAGTGCAATTAACATGACATTTTATTGTGGCAACGTCTCACTCTCCTGGAGCTCTGTCAAACCATTACAAGCAATGCATGGATACACAGAGGTATATATAGGTACACAGTGAGGTGCAAAACATAACATAATCGCTGTAGGTAGTAGTAGTAGTACTTGTTTTGGCAGTGGTGCTGGTAGTAATAGTGGTGGTAGCAGCTATGTGATGGTGGGGTTTATTGCTTTGAAGAGAATTCTTGCCAATACTTTAGAGATGATGAAGCTGCCTTTAATCAGTTTGTGTTAGAAATAGCTATTAATGATGATTCAAGGCACTTACATCTACAGAAACTGGGTTTTTCAATCATGTCTCAGTGAACACAATAATGCATGTAGGAATGATAACCTGAACAATGCCTGCATACAACACCAGAATTCTGCCAACCACCTGATGAAATTCAATGACACCTGCCTAGTGATTAAAGAACCCAATTTCTGTAGATGTAAATGCCTTGAATCATTATTAATCGCTATTTCTAACACAATTAAACAAAATAAATGAAGCTTCGTTATCTCTGAAGTACTGGCAAGAATTCTCCTTAAAGCAATAAACCCCACCATCACACTGCTGCTACCACTACTACTACTACCACCTACAACGATTATTTTATGTTTCGTACCTCACTCTGTACCTATATATACTTCTCTGTGTCCCTGTATTGCTTGTAATGCCTTGACAAAGCTCCTGGAGAGCAAAACGTTGCAACAATAAAATGTCACATTAGTTGCACTTGTGACCTATTACCTAACATATTGTCGGTAATTCTACCAACATTTTAAGAGGATTATTTTAGTAGCTGTAGAAATTTATGACAGCAATGATACATCAAATGAGTTAAATATGCAATATTATATTTTAATTATGAAAATTAAACAAGGTAGATATAACTTATGTGCACCTTGTCTTCCAGCTCCTGGGAGATGGAGAGGTGACGCTCACAGCAACATATTGCTTCCTTGAACTTGCCCATCACTTTCAAGGTGTTGCCTAAGTTGCCAGATGCCTTGGCCACACCCAGCCGGTCTCCCATTGTCCTGCAACACCAAAGAAAATATCTAAATAAACCATGCTATGCTGTGGCTCAATACACCATGCTACCCTGTGGCCCAATACACCATGCTACCCTGTGGCTCAATACACCATGCTACCCTGTGGCTCAATACACCATGCTACCCTGTGGCTCAATACACCATGCTACCCTGTGGCTAAATACACCATACTACCCTGTGACTAAATACACCATGTTACCCTGTGGCTCAATATACCATGCTACCCTCTGATATACCTTTGATGAGTTTCGAGAGTCTCTACTACTGGAGCCCAGCCATGGGCCAGGCTCGTTTGGCCCATGGCTAAATACTACTGAGTGTTACCTGGCCATAGCTGATGAGTGTTGCCTAGCCCCAGCTACTGAGTGTTGCCTGGCCTCAGCTACTGAATGTTGCCTGGCCTCAGCTACAGAGGGTTGCCTGGCCTCAGCTATTGAGTGCTGTCTGGCCTCAGCTACTGAATGTTGCCTGGCCTCAGCTACTGAGTGTTGCCTGGCCTCAGCTACAGAGGGTTGTCTGGCCTCAGCTATTGAGTGCTGTCTGGCCTCAGCTACTGAGTGTTGCCTGGCCTCAGCTACTGAGTGTTGCCTGGCCTCAGCTACAGAGGGTTGCCTGGCCTCGGCTATTGAGTGCTGTCTGGCCTCAGCTACTGAATGTTGCCTGGCCTCAGCTACCGAGTGTTGCCTGGCCTCAGCTACCGAGTGCTGCCTGGCCTCAGCTACCGAGTGTTGCCTGGCCTCAGCTACTGAGTGTTGCCTGGCCTCAGCTACTGAGTGTTGCCTGGCCTCAGCTACTGAGTGTTGCCTGGCCTCAGCTACTGAGTGTTGCCTGGCCTCAGCTACTGAGTGCTGCCTGGCCTCAGCTACTGAGTGTTGCCTGGCCTCAGCTACTGAGTGCTGCCTGGCCTCAGCTACTGAGTGCTGCCTGGCCTCAGCTACTGAGTGCTGCCTGGCCTCAGCTACTGAGTGCTGCCTGGCCTCAGCTACTGAGTGCTGCCTGGCCTCAGCTACTGAGTGCTGCCTGGCCTCAGCTACTGAGTGTTGCATGGCCTCAGCTACTGAGTGTTGCCTGGCCTCAGCTACTGAGTGTTGCCTGGCCTCAGCTACTGAGTGTTGCCTGGCCTCAGCTACTGAGTGTTGCCTGGCCTCAGCTACTGAGTGTTGCCTGGCCTCAGCTACTGAGTGCTGCCTGGCCTCAGCTACTGAGTGTTGCCTGGCCTCAGCTACTGAGTGTTGCCTGGCCTCAGCTACTGAGTGTTGCCTGGCCTCAGCTACTGAGTGCTGCCTGGCCTCAGCTACTGAGTGTTGCCTGGCCTCAGCTACTGAGTGCTGCCTGGCCTCAGCTACTGAGTGTTGCCTGGCCTCAGCTACTGAGTGTTGCCTGGCCTCAGCTACTGAGTGTTGCCTGGCCTCAGCTACTGAGTGTTGCCTGGCCTCAGCTACTGAGTGTTGCCTGGCCTCAGCTACTGAGTGCTGCCTGGCCTCAGCTACTGAGTGTTGCCTGGCCTCAGCTACTGAGTGTTGCCTGGCCTCAGCTACTGAGTGTTGCCTGGCCTCAGCTACTGAGTGTTGCCTGGCCTCAGCTACTGAGTGTGCCTGGCCTCAGCTACTGAGTGCTGCCTGGCCTCAGCTACTGAGTGCTGCCTGGCCTCAGCTACTGAGTGTTGCCTGGCCTCAGCTACTGAGTGCTGCCTGGCCTCAGCTACTGAGTGTTGCCTGGCCTCAGCTACTGAGTGCTGCCTGGCCTCAGCTATTGAGTGCTGTCTGGCCTCAGCTACTGAGTGCTGCCTGGCATCAGCTACTGAGTGCTGCCTGGCCTCAGCTACTGAGTGCTGCCTGGCCTCAGCTACTGAGTGTTGCCTGGCCTCAGCTACTGAGTGTTGCCTGGCCTCAGCTACTGAGTGTTGCCTGGCCTCAGCTACTGAGTGTTGCCTGGCCTCAGCTACTGAGTGCTGCCTGGCCTCAGCTACTGAGTGTTGCCTGGCCTCAGCTACTGAGTGTTGCCTGGCCTCAGCTACTGAGTGTTGCCTGGCCTCAGCTACTGAGTGCTGCCTGGCCTCAGCTACTGAGTGTTGCCTGGCCTCAGCTACTGAGTGCTGCCTGGCCTCAGCTACTGAGTGTTGCCTGGCCTCAGCTACTGAGTGTTTTCCTGGCCTCAGCTACTGAGTGTTGCCTGGCCTCAGCTACTGAGTGTTGCCTGGCCTCAGCTACTGAGTGTTGCCTGGCCTCAGCTACTGAGTGCTGCCTGGCCTCAGCTACTGAGTGTTGCCTGGCCTCAGCTACTGAGTGTTGCCTGGCCTCAGCTACTGAGTGCTGCCTGGCCTCAGCTACTGAGTGTTGCCTGGCCTCAGCTACTGAGTGTTGCCTGGCCTCAGCTACTGAGTGCTGCCTGGCCTCAGCTACTGAGTGCTGCCTGGCCTCAGCTACTGAGTGTTGCCTGGCCTCAGCTACTGAGTGTTGCCTGGCCTCAGCTACTGAGTGTTGCCTGGCCTCAGCTACTGAGTGTTGCCTGGCCTCAGCTACTGAGTGTTGCCTGGCCTCAGCTACTGAGTGTTGCCTGGCCTCAGCTACTGAGTGTTGCATGGCCTCAGCTACTGAGTGTTGCCTGGCCTCAGCTACTGAGTGTTGCCTGGCCTCAGCTACTGAGTGTTGCCTGGCCTCAGCTACTGAGTGCTGCCTGGCCTCAGCTACTGAGTGCTGCCTGGCCTCAGCTACTGAGTGTTGCCTGGCCTCAGCTACTGAGTGTTGCCTGGCCTCAGCTACTGAGTGTTGCCTGGCCTCAGCTACTGAGTGTTGCCTGGGCCTCAGCTACTGAGTGTTGCCTGGCCTCAGCTACTGAGTGCTGCCTGGCCTCAGCTACTGAGTGTTGCCTGGCCTCAGCTACTGAGTGCTGCCTGGCCTCAGCTACTGAGTGCTGCCTGGCCTCAGCTACTGAGTGTTGCCTGGCCTCAAACTACTGAGTGTTGCCTGGCCTCAGCTACTGAGTGTTGCCTGGCCTCAGCTACTGAGTGTTGCCTGGCCTCAGCTACTGAGTGTTGCCTGGCCTCAGCTACTGAGTGTTGCCTGGCCTCAGCTACTGAGTGTTGCCTGGCCTCAGCTACTGAGTGCTGCCTGGCCTCAGCTACTGAGTGCTGCCTGGCCTCAGCTACTGAGTGCTGCCTGGCCTCAGCTACTGAGTGTTGCCTGGCCTCAGCTACTGAGTTTTTGCTGGCCTCAGCTACTGAGTGTTGCCTGGCATCAGCTACTGAGTGTTGCCTGGCCTCAGCTACTGAGTGTTGCCTGGCCTCAGCTACTGAGTGTTGCCTGGCCTCAGCTACTGAGTGCTGCCTGGCCTCAGCTACTGAGTGTTGCCTGGCCTCAGCTACTGAGTGTTGCCTGGCCTCAGCTACTGAGTGTTGCCTGGCCTCAGCTACTGAGTGCTGCCTGGCCTCAGCTACTGAGTGTTGCCTGGCCTCAGCTACTGAGTGTTGCCTGGCCTCAGCTACTGAGTGTTGCCTGGCCTCAGCTACTGAGTGCTGCCTGGGCCCCAGCTACTGAGTGCTGCCTGGCCTCAGCTACTGAGTGTTGCCTGGCCTCAGCTACTGAGTGTTGCCTGGCCTCAGCTACTGAGTGTTGCCTGGCCTCAGCTACTGAGTGTTGCCTGGCCTCAGCTACTGAGTGTTGCCTGGCCTCAGCTACTGAGTGTTGCCTGGCCTCAGCTACTGAGTGTTGCCTGGCCTCAGCTACTGAGTGTTGCCTGGCCTCAGCTACTGAGTGTTGCCTGGCCTCAGCTACTGAGTGTTGCCTGGCCTCAGCTACTGAGTGTTGCCTGGCCTCAGCTACTGAGTGTTGCCTGGCCTCAGCTACTGAGTGCTGCCTGGCCTCAGCTACTGAGTGTTGCCTGGCCTCAGCTACTGAGTGTTGCCTGGCCTCAGCTACTGAGTGTTGCCTGGCCTCAGCTACTGAGTGTTGCCTGGCCTCAGCTACTGAGTGTTGCCTGGCCTCAGCTACTGAGTGTTGCCTGGCCTCAGCTACTGAGTGTTGCCTGGCCTCAGCTACTGAGTGCTGCCTGGCCTCAGCTACTGAGTGTTGCCTGGCCTCAGCTACTGAGTGTTGCCTGGCCTCAGCTACTGAGTGTTGCCTGGCCTCAGCTACTGAGTGTTGCCTGGCCTCAGCTACTGAGTGTTGCCTGGCCTCAGCTACTGAGTGTTGCCTGGCCTCAGCTACTGAGTGTTGCCTGGCCTCAGCTACTGAGTGTTGCCTGGCCTCAGCTACTGAGTGCTGCCTGGCCTCAGCTACTGAGTGTTGCCTGGCCTCAGCTACTGAGTGCTGCCTGGCCTCAGCTACTGAGTGTTGCCTGGCCTCAGCTACTGAGTGCTGCCTGGCCTCAGCTACTGAGTGTTGCCTGGCCTCAGCTACTGAGTGTTGCCTGGCCTCAGCTACTGAGTGTTGCCTGGCCTCAGCTACTGAGTGTTGCCTGGCCTCAGCTACTGAGTGCTGCCTGGCCTCAGCTACTGAGTGTTGCCTGGCCTCAGCTACTGAGTGTTGCCTGGCCTCAGCTACTGAGTGTTGCCTGGCCTCAGCTACTGAGTGTTGCCTGGCCTCAGCTACTGAGTGTTGCCTGGCCTCAGCTACTGAGTGTTGCCTGGCCTCAGCTACTGAGTGTTGCCTGGCCTCAGCTACTGAGTGTTGCCTGGCCTCAGCTACTGAGTGTTGCCTGGCCTCAGCTACTGAGTGTTGCCTGGCCTCAGCTACTGAGTGTTGCCTGGCCTCAGCTACTGAGTGTTGCCTGGCCTCAGCTACTGAGTGTTGCCTGGCCTCAGCTACTGAGTGTTGCCTGGCCTCAGCTACTGAGTGTTGCCTGGCCTCAGCTACTGAGTGCTGCCTGGCCTCAGCTACTGAGTGTTGCCTGGCCTCAGCTACTGAGTGCTGCCTGGCCTCAGCTACTGAGTGTTTTCCTGGCCTCAGCTACTGAGTGCTGCCTGGCCTCAGCTACTGAGTGTTGCC